GGTTAATGCACTGGACCTTGAGATTAGCAGCCTGATTTGTAACCACTACACTATCAGTGCTGGTATGGTGTTAAAGGATAAACACTGGATTGCTAACCACAAAGTGGGTGTTTCAAATCCAGGTCCCGGTGTTGGAAATGACTCCAGAGCACTTAATGACAGCAGCAGTTTATTTATTTATTTATTTTAACTGATGGGCACTAAACTTCTTTTCCAATGTTTGATTATCATGAATAAAACATCTATGCGAATTTTTGTTCAAGTCTTTTTATAAACATTTGTTTTCATATCTCTTTGGTGAATAACAATTAGTGGAATTCACATTATAAGGTATGTATATGGCTAGTTTTGTAAGAAACCGCCAAGTTTTTTTTCCAGAGAAGTTATATTACTTATAAAGCTCTGGTAGCACAGTGGTTATGAATCTTATGAATCGGGCTGCATCCAATCACATTAACACTATGGAAGTGAAGGTTTGTAACACAAAAGATAATTACATCAGAGCAGGGTTGGTAACACCAGATCACATCATGGGGGTGATGTGTATTGCTTTATATTAGATCTCACCATGAGGACAATTGCCTATTAACTGCCAAACCACTGAGAATCAAGGCCCAGCAACATAAATACAAAACCTTAACTATCACATGTACCTAGCAATTTAAAAACATGAAATATATATATACATATGTATATATATTAAAAACCTTTAATTAATAAGGCAAGAGATTTTTCACTTAGATGTAATTTTATCTGCATTCTTTCTAAAATGCTGTTTTGCCAAAATTGCTTAAATTTTTTTTTGTATATTGCCAACAGTAACAATCAAACCATAAAATCTAGGTAGGAAGGTTTTTCATATTAGTGGGTATGTTTTGCTTTATCTATCTTTGGGAAAAGAGACTCTTCCTGAGATTTGAAAGCAGCCTGAAGGTACCTCCTTCACATGATTAGTTTGATCAGTGAGCTTTGTAGAATATTTAATATTACTACTTTTCTGTCCTCTTTTCCAGGGAGCTTTTAGCATCAAACTACAGTGAAACCTACTCTTCTACAAAAGGAAAGGTCACTCGGTATCCTCAGATCACGGTATCTTACAGAACATTTCTATTATTCTTCTCTGAAGCTATTATTTCTGGGTGTGATTTTGAAGCCTCACTACAGCTTTACAAGCAATTTCAGAAAGTGCCACATAAGATCTGAGTCCTGAATTGATTATTCTAATAGAATGACCCTAGAGTAAAATATATGACCATTTGAGCCTAAAGGGGAGCTGCTCACTGCTTGCTTAATATGCAAAACTCAGTGATTGTAATGTATTTTTATTTAGTAATGATTTCTATGCATTCAGTATGGTGTTAATTCATGCACACTGATCCAATCACATTAACACTATGCATATCAAACTAAATGGATAAAACCTAAAGATGTGAAATAATTAAGAAATTTTCCTCAAATTGACCCTTCTTTTATTAATGTCTCCTTGCCCAGTCCTTCTGATGCATCAATATTGAAGTCTCTATTTGATTTTTCAAGTGCATCTTTGCTCATTAATCCCATTCTGGTGAACACAGAGTAAATTTTCATATGGAAAATACACTCTACAGCCTTCTAACCAAAGCCAACATTACTCTTTATTATCAAATGCAAAGTGTTTAAAGCCTATTTCATCTATCTAAACCATCTGTCAACTTCTATAAATTCCAAGTCATCACATAATCTTTTTAAAATAGAACAGATGAAAAACATTTTATGCTGAGGGTGGGGATTGATTTGTGAAGGGCTGAGGTCCCTGGAGAACCGCAGATTTAACAGATTTAGGCAGGAGGTAAAAACTCTGGCTAGGTGTGGGTCCCTATCCAGAGAAGAAGCGATGCCAGAGATGGAGGCAGAGATGATGATGTGGAGAGATAGAGTGGCTGGAGACTCTAGACTCAAGGAGGGAGAGGGGCTGTATGCTGGCAGCCAGGGGGTAGGCTTGAAGGATATACCCTTTGGTTATTTGACTGGTTATATATATATTCGTGAGGGTTTCAGTGTACATAAAAGGAAAAAAAAAAAAAAAAAAGGAATGGAAGCAAAAACTGTTGAATGATGATGCATGGAGAGGATTGTAGTCATTGCAATGAAATGAAATACGATAAGATGAATGTAAAGCTGATGTTCTCCCATATACGCTATCACTCAATCCACACACACACACACACACACACACAAAAAAAAAAAAAAAAAAAAAACTGAAAGGGAAAGGAAGGGTAACTATCTAATGAGATCAGCATGAACAATGTACCAAGCTGGGCATAACAAAGATGCCACTTGATTGACGCAGGAGAAATACAGTATAGAAAGGCATAAGGGGCATAGTTGAAGCTATTGTTGTTGTTGTTAAGTGCTGTCGAGTCAATTCTGACCCATAGCAACCCTGTATAAGGTTCCCAAGGACTGACTGGTGAGCTTGAATCGCCAACCTTGAGAATCAAACGACTTTGCAGTCTGGTGCATTAATCCACAGTGCCACACCAGTACTCTATCATTGAAGAGTCAGATCCAATTATAAAGATCATGAAGAATGTGGACTTAATTTCCAGGTAAATAGGAAAACAATGTAGTATTACCACAGGTGGTTGTTGTTGTTAAGTGCCATTGAGTCGGTTCCGACCCATAGTGACCCTGAACAGGGTTTCCAAGACTGTAAATCTTTACGGGAGCAGAAGGCCTTATCTTTCTCCCTCAGAACAGCTGGTAGTTTCGAACTGCTGACTTTGCGGTTCACAGGCCAATTCGTAACCACTATACTACCAGAGGTCCTTATTTGGTGACTTTAATATAGAATTTTGGATCAATTAAAGGAATTATATTTCTAAGGGAAAGAGTCACATATCTGAGTCTATAGCTGTTAAAATCTTGAGTGAAGGCTCCATTTACTGAGAAACAAAAACAAATGCAAATAAGATAAAAGGTTCTAAAAAGAATGGCAAAGCAGACTTAACTGTTTCCAAATAAACACAATGAATAAAGTAATATAATGTAATCCATTGAAATGAAAAGTTGTTAAACTCTGAATAAAAATATGTATAGATTAATGCATATATGATTATGTAGATCATGTCTATATTTATACTTTTATTAATAGGCTCTTTTTATCTCTTTTAGGAGCATTGTTTTTACCAAGGATCCATCGTAAATGAATTAGATTCTGCTGCCAGTATCAGTGCATGTAATGGCCTGAGGTAACAGGGCATCTTTCTAATTCCTTTAAGAGTTTTTCTATGAACTTTTAAAGACATTCACTTCACTTCTTACCTTTTATTTACCTTTAACCAATTACTGTTGAGTAGATTCTAATTCATAGTGACCCTGTAGGATAAACTAGAATTGCCTTATAGCTTCCAAGGCTGTAATTTTTATGGAAGCAGACTGCTATCTCTTTGTTAGCAGTCAGGTGTTAACAACTGCACCATCAGGTAATGTAAGCCTTAATAAACAGGACAAAAACAAAAACTGGAGAAGAGGTATTGCATATTTTCAGCAATGACTATCAGCCATGGCCTACTGATTTATATTCTTGCTTGAGGGAAATATGTGTAATGAACCATCCTCAAGGGGTTCAGTGTGAGAAATCTGGAAATCATCAAGCCTAGAGTTGCCATGATTGTGTAAATGGTATAGGACCAGGTGGTTGTTTGCTATATAGGGTAGCTATAATTGAGAATTGACTCAATAGCACCTAATCACAACAATACAATATAATTCAAAGATTAGGCCACCTGACTTTTGGTCTTGAGAATTTCTACTACAAAACTGCTTCACAGCTTTTAACAAAAATAAACAGCATGCCCAGTCTATCAAACTGAAAGCTCAGAGCCAAAATTATTATTGTTTTCTATCCATATTTTTTACATAAATTTTCTCTTATTTTCTACAATGTAGAAACTATTAACACCTTTTATAAATACTACTCTACTAAGTTGCACAACATGCGAACTCACACAGCTACTGAACAGCAGAGCAAGAATCCAAACTCAGAGTTCCTGACTTCTGAGTCCATTGATATTGGTCATTGCTTATGTAAAATAGTGTCTTCATTAGTGTGTTAACTCATTTCAGAAGATGCATAGTTTTCTATCCGTTTTTGACTCAAGGATGAAGGAAGAAGATTTGGGAAGGCAAAGAGGAAAAGAAACAGAAATTTCTGTCTGTCTTTATGATGCCTTCGCTTGAGTAGTTCCAAGTCTATTCAAGAATGGGGATCCCTTTCATGACAACCACTAGCATAGTATTTTTTGCATTCATTCCTGTTTTTCGTCTACAATTAATTAATGTATGATGGACATGGGAATTCACATATTGCTCGCAAGAACTTTGATACTGCCAGGGGTCCACATGCAGAGACTGGGAATTGCTATCCTATCTATACTTCAAATTAGAGATTTGACTATTTAGCTTCTAAAAATTCAGAGGAACTGACTTTAAGCAAAAATGATTAATTCAGTCAAAGGTCACATGTCATCTAATTTCTTTACCACCAAGTCAAGGAACTCCATTCTCCTGAAGCTTTATATCTATCTTCTACCTCTTATTTTTAATAACATTTTATTGTATTTTCAGTGAAAGTTTACAAAGCAAATTATGCTCCCATTTGTCAATTTTTACACAAGTTGTTTGGTTAAAATCATTATATTTTTCAAATGTGCCAATATTCTCATTAATTATGTTCTGGTTGTTCTGAAGTTTCCCTTTCTTGAAAAAGTAAATCAGTAAGGAATAGGATAGATGTTTAATATACTTTGTGTTCCCAATTTCCACAGGGGATTCTTCAGAATAAATGACCAAAGGTACCTCATTGAGCCAGTGAAATACACAGATGAGGGAGAACATTTGGTGTTCAAATATAATACAAAGCTGCAATATGCTGCCAATTACTCCTGTGAAGAACTCAATTTTACCAGGGAAATTGTCCCAAGCACTGATTCTAAATCCATGGAAAACCACAAAATGGAAGTGAGTGTTTTCTTTTTAAATCACGATATCCAATATCCCCAGGAAAAATACTTGTTATTCCCTCTATGATCTGGAGAGAGATGACAAGCCCATCTAATGAAATGTGGTAGCTACTCTGAGTCTGACTTTTTTCAAGCTAAACTATGAAATGTCAGTTCTTCTTATTTTTTTGTGTGTATATAGGAAGTATTCATTCCTTACAGTAAATTGGTTTGTTTCACCAATGTCAGGAAATGGGGATTTCTAAAATCCTTCTCTTAGATTTATAGCTTTAAGATGATAACTGGTTACAGACAACAAAATCTGAAATGTTCTGAAACCTAGGCTAATATAATATTATCTTCCTTTCTATGTTCTTTGGAGTTGGTAATGATGTTGTTAAACTATATTCTTATATTTTCATTAAGCCAAATGTTCTAATTTGTTAAGTGCTCCTAAAAGAGATAAAGAGCCTACTAATAAAAGTATAAGCATAGACATGATCTAGTAATATATGCATTAATCTATACATATTTTTATTCAAAGTTTAACAACTTTTCCTTTCAATGGATTACATTATATTACTTTAGTCATTAAATTCAATTAAGGGTAATAATGAGTTGAATTTCTGGTATGATGATTGCACATGAGAACATTTTCTGTTAGTTTCTCTACACAACTAGTTCATTTCCTCTTCAACACCCTCTAAATATTAGCCTGTAAGCTCATCTTAGATTGTAAACTCATGTGTTCATCTGCCTCACAATGGCACAATATTCAAGAAAGAGTCTGAAATATATCAGGTGCTTAATTGGTGTTTGTTGAATTAATAGATTCATCAAATAATTACTACTTAGCCCATAATACAAAGACTTAATTCATATTTTTGAGCAACAAGCTTCTGATTTTTCCTCAGAGTATTAATTCTTCAATCATGTGCATTGAAAGTTGTAAACTTAGAGAAATTTCCTGATGTTGATGTTTAATAAAAATTAAAGGCTGATAATCTGCAGCATTTCTACAAGTCTTATTAGTATTGAGACTACGAAAAAAAAAAAAAAAAAAAAGAAGCTGGGAGGAAGGGGGAGAAGAAAAAGTGATGCTGTCAGTCCATTAATTCGTCCTAAATTTTACCTCCCAGCTATAGATGGCTGCTCTTAACATATGCTTCTGTTTCACTTAGTAAAAGAAAGAATTAATTCTCAAAACTATATTCATGATTCCTTATTTATAACATATCTTACCTTAAAGAATAAACAAAGAAATAAAGGATAGTCAAAGGTGGCTTATTGCCTCAGGTTTATTAAAAACGTGTATAGGGCATCTTTTAATAATATAATGGTTTTCCTTAGATAAATTCTTAAAATTATCATATCAACTCTTGTATTTGATCTTCTAGTATCAATAACATTAACTTATTACTTTGAAAATGTTATGCTTCTCCACTTAAAATATTAAGATGATAAATATTAATCATATTGACTTAAATTTTCCATACATTTCCAGAGCATCCACAGAGACAAATATATTGAACTGTTCATTGTTGCTGATTACCATATGGTAAGTTTTCAGATGAACATCTTGTTCTTCAGTCATCCATATGAAAATTTAGTTGTGATTCTAACAAAGAGAAAAGGGGATTCTATTCAGAATTTCTATTCTATTCAGAATTTCTTCCAGGTTTCAATATTCTCTGTTTAGCTTTTCAAAACAGATGTGTTTAAGTAACTATGGAATCCATTGGGTATGAATAGAATCCTATTCCCCATTATGGATATATAGAAATGATGAACAAGATAGAAAAAGTTTAAAAACATGTTAACAATGTATAGTTGAGGTAAGTCAAGACAAAAAATTCTTAATTGCAAAGAATGAAAAAGAAAAACTGTCAGAACTGTAAATAAAATTACAGAGCTTGGTTGGCCCCAATATATAGATTTTATTTATAGTACTTAGGAGTTGAGAAATTAAACCTTCTTTAAAACAAAAAGGGGACTTCCAGCTTTCACAAAGCTGACATTTATAAATAATTTCTGTATAGTATATCCAGAACCATGAAGGACAACCCAACCTTGGAAAAGAAGCTAGAAATCTCTAACACCGAAAATAAGAAAGGAAATTTTCTATCAGCTTGTAATTTGTTGCTATTAAGTGCTGTCCAGTCAGTTCTGACTTATAGCAACCCTCTATAGGGTTTCCCAGGAGCAACTGGTGAGCTTAAACCACTGACCTTGCAGTTGAAAATGACTTTGAAATCCAGCACATTAACCCACAACACCACACCAGTACTCCCACTATCAGCTTGTAACTGGTAACAGGAAAAAATGTTATGCATGAGAAAACAAATAATCTAAGGTTGTACAGTGCATAAATTGTAGGACAGGAGAATAAACACTTTTTCAAATAATAGAAATGACACACAAAACGTTTAGCACATAGACCTGGGAAGCTTCTGTTGCTGATAGTGACCTTTCAGTATGACTATTCTGACTCATGGCAACCGCATGATAACAGAATAAAATATTGCTTACTCCTGTGTCATCTTCTTGATCATTGATATATTTGAAACCATTGTTGTAGCTATTGTATCAATTAAAAAAAAAAAAAAAAACCTGTAAGGACACGTTTTTGATTTAAGATAAGAACAAATATATAAGGAAGAGTGATAATGAAAAGGAGAACATTATTTATTGTTGTTGAGTTGGTTCCTATTTGTAGTGACTCTACATACAGCATAATCAAACACTGCCTGGTCCTATGTCATCTCCACAATCACTGCTATGTTTGAGCCCATTGCCAAATTCACTGTTACTTACAATTCATCTAATTGAAAGCCTTCTTCATTTTCCATGACTTCCTACTTTACAAAGCATAAAGTCCTTCTAGAAATCATCTAATGATTATCTCAGATAAAATAGAACTATATGTTTAAAAGCATTAAAGATATAAGGATGAATATAAATTACAATTAAAATGAAGAGACTGGGAAAAAAATGGACAGTAAGGGGCCGTGATGTGGCATTGTTGGATAAGCACTAGAGTGCTAACTGAGAGATCTGTGGTACAACCGTACCGGCTACTCTGCAGCAACTCTATACAGGGTCACTGTGAGTCAGAACTGACTTGATGGCACTTAGCAACTCTATACAG